ACACACACACACACACACACACACACACACACACACACACACACAGACGACAGCTTCATTAGGCTGAAAGAAGAGTTTTCACAGCTTTGTCGAGTCAGGACTCACAGCTCCTTCTTTCCTTCTCAATTACTCCTTTGTTGCAGCAAATTCAAGTTATTGCTCTCCAGAGCATATGGCCTGCTGGTCTCCTGCAGGAGGGAGGCAGGGAGACCTGCAGACCAGGACCAGGACCAGGACCAGGACCAGGGTCTGAGTCTGTTTGTAGAACGGATTAATTTTTCTGCCTTTAATTTTTCTGAAACTGAAGTTTCTCTAAAAATTCTTCAGATCGAATCAAAACCTCCTGGAGCTGTGATGAGGAACCACCAGATACAGACCACCAGACCCCAAGACCACCAGATACCAAGACTACCAGACCCCAAGACTACCAGACCACAAGACTACCAGACACCAAGACTACCAGACCTGATGACCAGCAGACCACAAGGCCACCAGATACAGACCACCAGACCTGAAGACCACCAGACCTGAAGACCACCAGACCTGAAGACCACCAGACCTGAAGACCACCAGATACAGACCACCAGACGTGAAGACCACCAGACCTACAGACCCAAACCACCAGACCTGAAGACTACCAGACCACAAGACCACCAGATACAGACCACCAGACCTGAAGACCACCAGACCTGAAGACCACCAGACCTGAAGACCACCAGATACAGACCACTAGACCTGAAGACCATCAGACCACCAGACCTGAAGACTACCAGACCACAAGACCACCAGATACAGACCACAAGACCTGAAGACCTGAAAACCACCAGACTTGAAGACCTGAAGACCTGAAGACCACCARACCATCAGACCTGAAGATTACATGACCTGAAGACCACCAGACCTGAAGACCACCAGACTACCAGACCTGAAGACCACCAGACCTGAAGACTACCAGACCACAAGACCACCAGATACAGACCACAAGACCTGAAGACCACCAGACTTGAAGACCTGAAGACCTGGAGACCACCAGACCACCAGATACAGACTACCAGACCACCAGACTACCAGACCACCAGACCTGAAGACCATCAGACCACCAGACCTCCAGACCCAAACCACCAGACCACCAGACCTGAAGACCACAGAGTAAACCTAAAGTCCAGCGGAGCACCAGACAAAAAGACTTAAAGTTCATCAGACCTAAAAACCACCACCCAACCCTGATCCAAACCCAGACCAGCACAGAACCTTGATCCATCTGATCCAGATTTCCACAGTTAGACTGGTCCAGAGGAGTCAGCATGGCCTCTGGACCGGGTCAGACCCAGAGTCCAGCGTTCTGTTTCTGAAAACAGCTAAAGTTTTGCATCAGGAGGTCGATGATGATGAAATGTTTCAGCAGAAACAAAGTGAGCTTTGAGTCCCGTTCTCCTCCTCCTCCTCCTCCTCCTCCTCCTCTTCCTCCCTCTGCTCCTTCATCACGTCTCTGCACACAAACCCGGGTCGTGATCAGAACCAGTCCATTGTCCTGTCTGTCTGCTGTTATGGATTTCTTTCCGTCTGCTGCTTCAGGAAGGTTTTAATGTAAAGGAACGTCAGCGTCCTTTCAGCCGTCGGCTGCTGTTTGCTCAGCCTCATAATTTACCTCCAGTTTGCCCCACATTAGCCGCCACAAAGAGCCCGGCCCCCCGGGCCCATGGCAACGCCACGGCCAGAAAACACAGCACCTGAAAAGAGTTGTCACCGGGCCGGACAGCGAGCCGTCACGGTGCCGTTAACCCGCAGACGGAGGATGTTTTCACTTCACAGCTCAGATAATTACTCACTGAGCTGTTAGCTTTAGCTTTAGCTTCTTTTTGTCTCTTCTCAGATATAAAACACTTCAGCTCAGGTCAGAAACAATGGGCTGGAAGAAAACTACAGCCGAAGTCCAAGTCCTGAGTCCAGAGTCCAAGTCCTGAGTCCAGAGTCCAAGTCCTGAATACAGAGTCCTGAGTCCAGAGTCCAAGTCCTGAGTCCAGAGTCCAAGTCCTGAATACAGAGTCCTGAGTCCAGAGTTCACAATAACAGACTCCAGTAAGATTCTGGATCACAGGAAAAAAAAATTAACGAAATGGAGGAATGTGAGAACGCTGAGAGCCGAATGACTGCTGAAACCTGTTGAGACCTGCTGAAACCAGCTGAAACCTGTTGAAACCAGTTGAAACCAGCTGAAACCTGTTGAGACCTGCTGAAACCTGTTGAGACCTGCTGAAACCTGTTGAGACCAGCTGAAACCTGTTGAGACCTGCTGAAACCAACTGAAACCTGTTGAGACCTGCTGAAACCAGCTGAAACCTGTTGAGACCTGCTGAAACCTGTTGAGACCTGCTGAAACCAGCTGAAACCTGTTGAGACCTGTTGAGACCTGCTGAAACCTGTTGAGACCAGCTGAAACCAACTGAAACCTGTTGAGACCTGCTGAAACCTGTTGACACCTGCTGAAACCTGTTGAAACCAGTTGAAACCAGCTGAAACCTGTTGACCTGCTGAAACCTGTTGAAACCTGCTGAAACCTGTTGAGACCTGCTGAAACCTGTTGAGACCTGCTGAAACCAGATGAAACTGTCTGAAATCTAGAAGACCTAAAACTGTCAAAAACCAACTGAAATGGTCTAAAAAAGCTGAAACTGGGTGAAAACTATAAAACTAACTAAAGCAGAGAAAATCAGTTGGAGTTGTTGAAACCAGCTGAA